AATAATAATACACTGTACATAAACCTGAGTAACAGAGGGCTTTAGTCCTCTTATTTTTAGATACTGCAGGTATTATCTGCAGCACGTTCATTTACAGAGGCAATTTTGTGCATCTCATTAGTTCTTTAGTTTGGGATGTGATACGGAAACATTTCATGGTTCTTGGGGCATCGTTTAGTTCCATTTTTTTGTTCTTGCTTACAACATGGCTTAGGGGGGTGTTGTTTTTTCTCTCTTTTCAAGTAGAAGTGGTCCAAGGGGAAAGTGAGGGACAAGTTGAACAACCTTGTCCTGTTTGACAAGGCCACTTATGACAAACTGTGCAAAGAAGTGCCCAACTACAAGCTCATCACACCTGCAGTTGTCTCAGAAAGGCTGAAGATCCGAGGCTCCCTGGCTCGGGCTGCCCTCCAGGAGCTCCTCAGCAAAGGTGAGCACTCAGAAATAAAAAAAAAACAAAAAAACAGCTGCTCGAATTGGCTGTTTGATTTTCCTTGCTTGCCCAGCAGCTTTCCTGCAACATCTGAACTGCCCCATGCTTATATTGTTTTTGGAGAGCCACTGCCTTAGCTTGAATTTCAGAAATGCTCCAAAGTATGGAGCAGCAGTTTGTTACGTAGAAGCATTTCTGTACTAAGAAAAATGTTGTCAGAAGGATGGGCTGTGATGTAAGTGCAGCCAGATGGCAACAAAAGACTTGCATAAGCTGCTACCACCTATTATTTCCTCTTGTACATTGCCCTTCCTCTCTAGGGGGGACCTCAGCATCCCTGGCATCTGTCAGTACACGCAAACTAATGTAATTGTGTTTTTTCATAGGGTTGATCAAACTGGTGTCCAAGCACCGAGCCCAAGTGATTTATACCCGAAACACGAAAGGTGGAGATGCGCCTGCTGCAGGAGAGGACGCATAGGGAGGTGAGGCTGGGTGCTGAGGAGCTAAGCTGTGCTGTTGGGAGCTAATGGACAGCTGTGCAATGTGTAATAGGCAACTTCCACATGGCTGTGGTGGGCTGTTCTTCCAGATGCTCAGAGTATTTTGCTTACATCCTAACCAACTTTTGCTGGGAACATTACTGGAAACATCGGCTCTCCAGAATTAAAGAGCAGTTTCTGATTTTGTCCCTGTGCTCATTGGATGAGGAAGGCATTCTTTGTTCCTCTCTGTGTGGGCTGCAGGGTAAATGGGCCCTTGTCCTCACTGCACTCACATGGCACCATGGCCAAGTGTTCCTGCTGGAATAAAACTGTCAAACTGTTTTGTGCTAGCCTGCTTTTACCTAGTTTTCTGATTGGGGACTTCTTGCTTTGCAGGTTCTTCAGTGACTTCGTCAATGTGTCATACCTAGATGCACGCAATAAAATTACTGATTATAATTTTTCTTGATTTTTCAACAGTGTATCTGTTTCATTACTGATGCATTATTTATAGTGGATTTTGGTAGAGGTTATGGCTGTTGTCCTATACCAGCCAGTTTTTGTCTTTTATTAGTGTTACAAACGTGTTGCTGAAAGGGAAGTGAGAAACTGCTACATCACCTACAGCAGCCAGTGATGTTAGACAATGTTAAAATGAAGGAAAGCAATATAAGTTTGAATGAAATTATCAAACACCTGGCATTACGTGTCTGCAGGATGGGCCTGCATTTGAAATGAGTTTCACTTGGTCTACAAAGAGAGAGGCATTTAAAAAAAAAAAGTTTATTTCTCCAAAAATTCTTCCTTTAGTGGGATGTGCCATGTCAGCATAGGCCACTGGCATTGCTTGCTGTACAGAGTAGGCTTTCTGACAGGGAAGATACGGCACCCACAGGAGCCTATCTTTGCTGGCAGGACCTGACTTTGTGTGGCTTTAGATGTGATGCTCAGATGAACAGTCTGCCCTTACAAGGCAGTCAGCAACAAAACTGCAGCTACCTACAGTAAGCCTTTCCACAGCAGAGCTGGGTGTCTGGTGTTCCTCATCTGATCACCTTTTTTCCTTCTTTTCCCCTGATTCAGTTCTGAACTGATGCCTGAAAGAGAGCATAGAAGTCAAATTGCAGTAGCCTTTACACAGAGATAATGAACACTTGTTGAAAAAGTAAGAAAGTGCTGCGCATAGTGTTCTGACATGGAAGCTCCCTCAACATTTTTGTTACCTCCATGAGTGGTACCTCCAGCTAGCTGACAGAGAGTTCTGGCACATTAAAGGTGCCAGTGGGCCAGTATGTGGGTCTGAAAGATGAGCCAAGCAAAACAAGGCAGATGCCTTCGTGTGTGCAGCCTTTACAGTCATGAGCACGCTTCCTCAAGCCATGTGTGCTGCTCCAGGACAAGAATGATACTCTGCCTGGATTAAGCACTGAGTGGCGTAACTCGTATGGCAGGATGTCTAGTTATTCTTGCTGCTACCTCAGAGCCTGCTCCATGAATAGGCTGCATGGACAGAAGCCTCACACTCTCCCCCCTGGCATCCATCTGTGCTGCGCTGGAGCTCACCGGGACTGCCACCTCCTGCCATGATTCCATACGCGCCCAAAGGAAGGGAGCCAGCTGTCACTTGTCTGAGAGGTATGGTCAAAATTGGCACCAACACGTTCAGCTGGAAGCTTTTTCAGCTTCTGCTTCTCCTCTGAAAAAAAAAATAATAATTGTAGAGTGGTTTGGGTTGGAAGGGACCTTAAGGGTCGCATTGCTGCAACCCCCTGTACCACAGATGGGGGATACTTTCCCCTAGACCAGGTTGCTCAAAAGCCCAGATACTTTGTTCACCAAAAATTTTTCGAATTGCTTTTGGTTCTCTAGCATGTTAAAGTGCCCGTAAGGTTAAAAGATGTGCAAGATGCTCACTGTGTTTGAGAAATTCCTCATAGGAAGGTCCAATTTGTTTACTTCCATCTTCTTCCTCTGTTAGCCATGGAGGTTTTGCTCCTAGAAGTCACAGGGAATACTTAGTTAGTCACTGAAGTTACCCTAAACTGTGACAGAATAAGTGTCCCCTCTTTCCCCCTGTCTGCTGCTTGTGCTATCAAACAAGTGACCAAGTGAACTCTGGGTGTTCTGAGAAAAAAAAGCTGGCTTCCTCAGCTAAGGCCATGGCTGATCAAACCCCACATCATACAGTCCTCACAGCAGCAGCATCAACAGTTTTTACTCTGCTGATGTGTTCTCTAGTATGTCAAATACTGCCAAGACTGGCCACCTCCTGGTTATGCTGCTACTGCTTCAAAACTGCTTTGAGTTCTCCCTGTGACATTTCCAAGCCATGAGGTAGCAGCCTGGTGAGTCAGAATGCAGGTGTACTTACCTGTGTGGACATTTCCTTTCCCTTCTGTTTCCTGTTAACAGGAACATAAAATGCTTATGAGTATCTTATGTTTAGGAGTATCTCTGAGCAAAAGAGCATTGTCTTCATTCCCTTCCCGAATCAAGTTCTATTAGAAAAAGGCAGAGGAAAGCTTGTCTCTTCTTCAAAAGAGAGCTTGGTTTTTTTTTCCCCATGGCATATTAAAGAATGTTTGCTTAATGAAAGTTAAACCTGGGTAACTGAAACTGGGCTAGCTGCTCGCCCAAATTCACAAAGTGTTTCTTTCTGTGATGGAGACCACCCCTTGTTCTGTTTTGTGACGTGCTGTAGGTGACTTGCAGTTAAAGTCGTGCTTGCTAGCCAGTCACCCCTACCTGGTGGCCAATGAAAGTCAGAACCTCGCCTGGTTCCATCCAGGCTAAATCAGGTCCTGTCTGCATTCCGCTCGGGCCAGGCTGTTCTGCGCTGCAAGGGCTGTGCCTGAAATAAGAGGCCAGCACGTACTGTAGTGCACACAAAAGAAGACCCTAGCAATGACACTGTCAAACTCCCCATGTGTCGGGTGCTTTGACCACAGATGTATCAGCCAATGCTAAAGAAAGTGCTGCTCACCGTTCAGGTCCTGTGGGGAGCCTGCAGACAGAAGGTCCTGCACGAACTTCTGGCTCTGGTTGAAGCTGAGTGTAATTCAGGAAAAAGGAACAGTATTTCTGGTACTGAGCACAGCGCCCACCCAGCCGCCCCCGGCCCCTCCCGAGCACAGCCGGGTGCCGGCGGTTGGGGGTGCGCAACGCAGTGTCCGCTCCCCGCCAGGTGCAGCCAGGGCAGGATACAGCTCACCGACCTGCAGCGCGGCTTGCACCGTCTCTCGCTGCCGGCGCTCGGCCTCCCGGATGTCAGCCGCCATCTGCGGGGAGAGAGCGGTGAAGCGGGGCCGGCGCAGGCCGGGCCGATGCCGATGCCGGGAGGTGACCGAGGGTACCTGGAGGATGCGCTCCTCCTCCCGCCGCTGGTGCTCGGCCAGCGCCTGCTCTAGAGCCTGCGCGAAGCGCTCGTACTCCTCGGCCGGCACCAGGCACCGCTCCCGCAGCGCCGCCTCCGCCCGGTTCTCCCGCCAGAACCGCGCCGTCTCCCGGCGGTGCTCGGGCCTGCGGGACACCGTGATACCATCAGCACCGCCCGCACCCGGCCAAGCGCCACAAAAGCCCGGCATACGGCAGAGCAGCCCGGCCCGTTCCCGCCCGCGCACCCGGCCAGGTGCCGCATCAGCCCGGCGTGCAGCAGCGCCAGCCCGCCGCGCCGCCCGTCCCGCCGCACGCCGCGCCCGCAGCACGGGCACCACACGCGGCCCTCGTGCTCCGCTGGGTCGTAGCGCCGCACGGCCGCGGCCCCATCCGGCACGGCCGCCGCTGCCCGCGCCGCCGCCGCCGCCTCCTGCAGCCGGGCCAGCACCTCCCGCAGGCGCCGGCGGTGCCCCGCGCTGTAGCGGTGCCGGCGGCCCGTGAAGGCGCTGCGGCGGCACAGCGCGCAGTAGTGCACGGCCATGGCGCGCGGGCCGCGGCGCACGCGCTGCTCCGGCACCGCCCCGGGGCGGGGCGGGCGCGGCGGGGCGGGAGGGACCGGACAGCGCGGGGCGGGAACGGCGGGGCGGGAACGGCGGGGCGGGAACGGCGGGGCGGGAGCGGCGGGGCGGGCGCGGCGGGGCGGGAGGGACCGGACACCGCCGGGCGCCATGCGCTGCTCCGCCGGGAGAAACCCGAGCACTTGTACTTAGCCCATTCGTAACAACAGGTGTGAAAAGACTTTGCGAGTATTTCCTGTCTCTGCTGCAGCCATGGAAAGCATTCCCCCATTTGGTAATGCTTGCTTCTTACTGGTAGAGATTGGAGGTGCTACATCCAATAACACACACGGGTAAAGAAGGAAATGAATCCTGTGGTCTGACTGGTCTGTTCAATGAAGCTAGCAGGACTGGAAGCAGAAATATTGGTTTTCTAGCTTAAGGCCTAGAAGTGTTTTAAAGCCTAAATATGTTTGTAACCACAAACCTTTCCCTGAAGTACAGGAAAAGGCTAAAAGGCCTTAATTTTGCCTTTGGCTATTCAGTTACTGAATCCTAATCTCGTTGGTTTGTAGGCTGTATATTCTGCATGAAAGCATGTAACCCCTGAGTGCTGCCTTGCCACCCCTGCATTCCCAGGGAGAGAGATTTTGATCAGACCGATAGAGCTGTTTTGGGGCAAATTGAATGTAAATCTGCTAATCTGCCAGTTCCTTATGGTTTATCTAGGAGTTCATGCTTGTAGCATCATTTTTTTTTCACCCCTCTCTAGCTTCAGAATGTGGAACAGAAGATAGAAGAGGACCTGCTGTCAAATGCAGAAGGCCAAAGTACCCAGCATTGCTGTCTGCGTAATGAAGGAAGCTAAAAACATAGAGAGGTGACAAGCTGGAGGTCCTTTGCCTCAGGATATCTGAATTCTGCAAAGCTAGCTCTTTTCAGATGAGTGTTACCTGCACATAAGTCAATTGATGGGATAGTTTAACTGAAAATATGTGTTGCCTACTGCATGCTTGTAACCACAGTTACTACAGGGGAAGTTTTGTAAGGCTGAAAGTTGGGATCAAGGCTAGTTCTTGTTCTTTGCTGATTCCCACCTGCTGGCACTTCAGATTAAAACTTGTTTGCAAATCATGAGAAAAAACATTTCAGATTTGAGTCTTAACTGTGAGTATGCTCAGTTCCTTCTCAGGCTGTCTGACTTCTGTGGGCATGTAAGGTGTAGGTATATGCCTTCAGCCATGGCTTCATGTGAATGTGCTCTTTGGGGTCTTCTCAGTAAGCCAGAGATGTATTTGTTCCTGTTTCTGAAAAATGTTAGATGCAAGCTCCCTTGAGGATAGGGCAGTTCTCTAACTTGGCTTCTGATTCAGAGTTGTTACAGGAGTCTGTCTTGATGGCTCTGGCTCATACCCTGTTTGGGCTTTGCCCAGCCAATGGCATTTGTTTTGAAGCAAGCTCAGTGGATGTGGTGGGGATGCTTGAGGATACTGATCATGCCAAGCAGCTGTGGGGTTTATATAATTTTTTCCTCCTGTAGCAGAACAGAGATTAATTTCCAATTGACTAATTAATTTCCATTTAATTAAAGTGGTCCTTTTCCCCCTCTTCCTTTTTCCCCTCTTCCTAGTCCAGAGTGTACAGTAGATGCCTGGCTTATCATCACACCAGGACACTCCTGCTCTATTGGCATTGCTTCAGTTCCTTGTGCTGCAGTAAATAGCTGATGCTGTGTAGTACAGACAGATCTCCCAGGGTTTGCATAGGCTGGGGTTAGGAACCCTAGGTCAGGGTTTCTGTTCAAGAGAGGCAGCAGGGAACGTACGGGCAGGCTCAATGATAGGGAACATGAGACAGAGGGAAGGCTGTGACTGGAGAGATGCTTGCTCCACCGGACAGGGGCTGTGTCAGGGTGCCCAGTCATTCCTATGAATGACTAAAGTGTCTTTGATGGTACCATAGGTGGATGCTGCTGTCATTGTAGCTGTTCAGAGCCTCCTCAGGATGCGAGAACACCAGAGATGTACTTGATGAGCATCACAGCCTGTTTTATTAGCTGTATTCTCTTCTCTCTGAATGGATACACTATTTTCTGGTGGGGAAAAGGTGGCCTCTTACCCTCCACGTCTTCAAATTCTGTGAAGCTGCAGTAAAGAGCTGAACTCATATCTGCCCCTCCTCCCTGATTTTTAAAACCACTTCAAAGGTGAGCTAGCAGACGACTGAAGCGACCAGTTCCGCCAGGCTCGTTTCTGCTCACCTTTCCTGCCGCTCCCCCGTGGAACAAAGCACATCATTTCCCTTTGATTTCCCACTTTGAAAGCCATAGGGGACAGAGTCTGAAATGGCCCACAAGTTTTTTAGTGTCTCCTCTCTGTACCTTCCTGAAGCACTGGGTGGATCAGGACAGGACTCCAGGAAGGAGACCTGGCTTCTGGCTAAATTGGCCAGTGGGATGCTCCACCCTCGTGGCCGTGGCAACCGGCATCCCCAGGTTTGTGGGTAGGGTGAGGTAACAGTGCAGCGACAGGGGGAAGGAGCCACAGCGTCTGGGATTTGGTGGCTTTGACTAAGGCACGCAGGGGTTCCAGAGTCCAGCCTGGCTGCCCGTCACCAGCAGCACGTGTGTCCCATCTTCTGGCACAGCTACTGCCCCAGGGATGGAGGGGTCTGCCCTGCTCTCCATTTCGCTGCCAAGAAGAGATGGCACGTGGCAGAGTGGAGTGCGTACTGCCAGTGTCCTGCCAGGCAAGGAGGACAACAGCAGTGAGTTTGGGTGCCTCAGCCAGTGCCCAAGGCACAGGCTGCTTGCCCTCTCTGAAAGGGATCGTGTCACAGGTGTGAGGCTGGAGAAGAGGAGAGGAAAGCAGGGCTTGTTTTTGCGATGTGAGTTTCTTTACTTCCTTCTGTGCTATAACGACTGGAGAGGTTTGAAAAGCTTTAACACATAGGGCTGTCATTTGCAAGCAGGCAGTGATGCAGCCCATCCCTGGCGTGGTGCAGACTATGTGATACTGAATCTACAGCCCCATCTCAGTGTCCCAGAGCTCTCTTAGCAAAATACAAACAGCTTGTCTCTGCTCAGCTTACAAGATGACAGGACCATGCCTTGCAGCAGTGCAGCTGCACAGCACATGCATGGTATTCAATGCAGGTGCTGCAGGTGATGCTCAGAAACAGCGGTATGCTGACTCAGTGCAGGGAGCAGGAGGATAATAAAGCAGTAGGAATTGGTCATGTCAAAGGAAGCACCAGATGATAGTCTTGAGTAAAGGTTAATTAATCTGACCTCTGTTGTTGTGCTGAAGATCTCCATGCTTTATAGTCACTTTTGTATGTATTGTGAAGCTGCAAAATCTAGAGAAAACTTCCTTTGCCTGCTGGTTCAGGGCCAGGCTGGATGCCTATGTAAGGCTGCTTTTGTGACAGTACTGAAAATGCAAATATATTTATGTGTGTGTTTTTGTGTGTTTTTGTTTGTTTCCCTCTCAGAACCCAGGTGCAAGAATTGATGCTGGAATCATACTCAGCTGCTTACAACAGGATGTTGTAACCCACATGTTAGGGCTTAAACCTCTGTGTGAGACCACTCTGTGATTCAACCCTGCTCATCCTGCTAGTTGAGAGTCACTGAGAGGAGGACCATATCAGTGAAGATTTGGTCTGATAAAAACCATTCTCTTAACACTGTTGCTTGAAACAGGGATATTGTATCTTTAAGGCACCCCCTTCTCACTCCCCTAATACCTCTAGGCCTCTGAATGATTCTGGAGGAGAGCATCAGTGCAGGAGTTTAAGGCATCTTTCCCTGCCCTGCTGCACTGCTCACTTGCTGCTCCGAAGGCTGTGCTTTGCTGTTTCTATGGAAACCATTAGTTGCTAAGCAACTGGAGCATCATCTGTGGTGAGCCCTCGCATCTAATTATCCCATCACAGTGGCTGAGAGGGGCTAGGGGGGGGATTAACTCCTCTACCATGGCAGATCCATTGACAACACTTTAATCACATTTAAAGGGACATTGTCTCCCTTCTGCCACACTTATGAGGAGGAATAAGGTTTTCTGCAAGCAGTGGACACACTGTCTGTGCTCATGGCATGCTTGGAGCTTCCATGCCCTTGCATGGAGCTCTGCAGGGAGCTCTTATTTCTGTTCAAGTTATGCATGATGCACTTAGTTGTACATTTGGATTGTGCAGTCTTTGCCTTGTGGACTGTATCTGGGCCATACTTACAGTCATTAGTGTTTTTGTTGGGTTTTTTTTGTTTGTTTGTTTGTTTTTTTGTGTTGTGGTCAACTTGATGCTACCCTTACTGTCTCTGTCCCCAGACCCTGATGTTATGTTTGCTCTGTGAGGTATTGCTAATTCTTCAGAACTCAGCAATGGAAGAGGTGGGCAGTTCTCTGTCTTCTGTCTGTTTGCAAACATTGCATAGTTTGGTATTCACTTTTGGTATTCACCTTACTGTTTGCTTCTGGGAGGGATAGAGAGTGTCATCAAGGAGTACTGAAAGCCTGAGGGGTGAAGTAACAGCTACAGAAAATCTCATTTTCCAGATCTCTGTAAGTGGACAAAGCCAGCAGCAGCCTGGTGAATTTTGCACATTCAGATAAAATAGTCAATCTGAGAGCTGATTCTAATTTTGAGTTTGCAAACACAAGGCTGATGTAGTGTACGACTCAGTCTCCCTACTGTGACAGATTGCATCTGAATGAGGTTCCCAGATTTGTGAGGAGAGTGGTAGTGGTTTGAGGTACTTTCACTGAGTTTAGGGGAAACCTGACTGCACCAGGTCCGTGCTTGTGTGCATTGTATCCGCTTCTTGCCTGCTGCCATCAAGACCAATAGGGACTGATTCCTCCTCAGTTTTCACTTTCTGCCAGAAAATGGATGCTTTGTGATTTACTAAGGTGGTTGCATTTCTAGTGGCTGAATCAATGAGTCTATTGGAAAGTTTTCCTGTTTCTTTACTGCCTAGATCTGTGAGCCAGCTGAGAGTTACTGTAAAGCTCCCTAGCAGTGTTTGCTGTGCTTTGTATGCAGAGGGAGAATATAGCTTCAGCAGGAGGGTGGCCCATTCCTACTTCTGAAAACAAGAGAATCCCTAATACCTCCCCAAACGGACTTTTTCTCTGTGTCCACCCTTGAATTGTAAAGCCTTTCACTGCAGCCAAAGCCCCCAGGCACTATCCAGCCCCAGCAATATGTCGTGCCAACATGTTAGCGCTGCTTCCACGCCTCCCCACTGGCACAGGACCAGAGCGTGTGACTCCCCAAGGACTGAGTGACCCAGGGCTAGGTGGGATAGGATAACTTGGGAAGATGGAGCAGGTGCCCCTCTGCCTTGCTCTCAGAGTAGACAGATGATGGTGATTATTATTAAGAGCTCTTGTAATGATCTCAGGGAGGGGCAAGTGGAGGAGAGAGACATATTTTGTCATGAAAATGGGAAATGTAATTAAAGTCCACGTGTTAATTAAGAGCTGAAGGGGGAAAATAGATGGAGTTCTACCTGAAGTTACACTGGCATTGGCAGTTGGGCATTCTGTATAATGCTAATCAGCAATGAAGAAAGGCTTTGAAGGAGAGGCATGAGAGAGAAGTTTTGCACAGAGGCTCCCATGGCTTTGAATGGAGCACATAGGATCAAGGAAAAGCTTTGTTTTCCCCAGCCAAGGCTGGGAAAAAGAGGAACAGTATCTACAACTTTTTGCATTTGGTTCCTCAGTGTAAATTGGCAGTGTCAAGAAGAGGGGTCCAGGTCTGATCACCCATGTATGTTTCTCTCTGGTCTGCCTAGGCACCTTCCTCAGACAAGAAGTGGATGTGACAGCGTTCCTGAGCTCCTGCTGCCCCATCAACAGTGGGCACTCTAGGCAAGCACAAATCTAGTGCAGATCCTAGGACAACAGGTGAGGATATCCTGCCACTCTGTGCAGATCAGGACAACTGAAACCTACTCATCTGCCCCTCTGCAGACGTGAGATGGCTAATCAGGTGCAGATCCCTGGTGGTTTCAGATGCTTTAATATGGAATTTTATGCTTACTTTTGTCTTACCAGTCAGAAACCTATGAAATTACAGCTCTGCTTCTCTGACAGGGCAGGTACAGCAAGAGGGCCTCACAGGTTTGGTCTTTGACTCTTTTGCCACATGGGAGAGACCTGCAGAAATGCATTTGGAAATATCTTCCCTCTTTGTACTAATGTATTTGACAGGGGGATCCTCTGCTGCTTCAGCTGTGCCAGAACCCCATTACCACAGTCTGTGGAAAGGGGCTGACTACTACACATGCCTTGTTGGAAGCCCAAGCACCTTGTGGGAATGAATAGAGGGGCTGTGAGTGTAGGTGAGAGTGATGCACCTGCTTACAAGAGGGCACTGCAGAATTTGAATGCATCTGTGAGGAAAGAAGGTAGTGGTCTGTGTGCATATGATGCTATTTAAGAGAGAAGAGGATAATTCTGCTTCTTTGCAAAAGTGAGAAGAAGGTTGTCTGCACGCAGAACTTAAGGGAACTGTTCAAAATGCCGTTTGCCATGTGCGGAGACTCACAGGGATCAGGAGAAGCAAGTATGCAAGCCTCTGACTCATACATGATGTCCTAGAGTCAGGAAGGAGTAATCTAAAAGCCACTTGAGCCATGTGCTGCATCTTAATGAGGAAGGCAGCACTCACAAAAATGCTGCAGCCGAGCTCCTGCTGCCTAGCTTTGCTACCAGTGTGGCTATTTTTCTGCAAAGACCAAAAGGCCTGGTGCTGTCAGATTGTCCCTGAGGACTTATGCAGAACAGTTAGTGTGCCTCCTGATGCCATCCAAAGCTAGGTGGAGCACTCTCTTTGCACCCATGGGTTTCTTGGTGAGAACAGCAGCACCCCTCTCTTCGAGCAGAGCATGGCATCAGGGAGAATCAGGGCAAAACTTGAGAAAGTGTCAAGCATTATGAATTTGATTTGTAAAATTGCCCATGCCTCTCCTAGTGGATGAACACCCTGCTGGAGCAGCACATGTAAATACACAGTGCCTTTGCATGGTGTTATGGTTTGACACTGGATAATGGGACAAAGAAATTAAAGTGAGGCAAGGAAATCTGGAAGATAGAAAGTCACTGTTAAAGTTGGAGTTTGGACAGAACACTGAGTTGAGTAGTGAGACCCCTGGAAAATGCTGAGGGGTTTGTAATTGCTTGTTTGAGAATGGTGCTTGAAGTATTGCAGTTTCTTCCAGGTGGCTGGCTGGGTGGAATGTTTCCTGGCTATCAAATGGCCAGCAGTGTTTGTAGTTTGCTCCCTGATCTAGAAGTGAAACTGGGGAATGTCTTGCTCTGTCTGCTGAGCTATACTGCATCTTTGTTATTCCTTTTCTCTCTTGTGCCCTCTCTTTTGTTTTTCATTTCCTTTTGGCATCTTGGGGCTTAAAGCATTTCCAAGAAGAATTGATGCTAGGAGAGCAGCCACTGAGGAAGCTTACCAAATGCTCTACATCGGCTGACAGCTCTTCTCAAAACCAGATGGTTACTAATTAAAGGAAGTCAAGTGGGAAGGCTGCATTGGCCTTTCTATTTCTTTTTCCTTCCTTTGATTAACAGAGTTTGCGATCTTGGTGGAAAATTGTACTCCTGTCTTTCCTGGGAAGTCCTCTCTTAGTGCTTGTACTCTGTGGTGATCCCAGTGCTGGGTGCAGGATCTTTCTGAGGAAGTACACTGACTATGTGCTCTAAGCACAATGTAGCTGCCAACATAGAGCAGTAGGACAGAAATAAAGCTGTAAAAAGAAAACACAAACTGGGAGAGGAACATTAAACATTGGGGAGAGCTCTTCTTGGAGATCTTCTGTGGGACTTTTACTTGAAGCTTTATGTTGTCAGTACAAGAAAGACTGATGTCATCCTCAGGGAACTTCTTGTTCCTCAGCCTGCTGCACCTTTCACACAGAGGAGCCCTTTACATGGCCAATCTTAGACCATCTGTGTGCATGTAGGCTGCTCCATGTGGCTTTTTTACGTGGTACTAGGAGCTGAATGCCTGAGAAGATGAAGGGCAAGCACATGCTTCTTTTATTTTCAAGAACATTTGGTTTCTAGAGCCAATCTTAACAGATGCACTGTCAACGCTTAACAATTCAACCTTGTGTGGAAGAACTGGGTATAAAGAAAACTGCATTGGCAGTAACAAATGCCTCCCACTCCAATTCATGTCCAAGAAAAGTGTAGCAGTTTTGTCCTGATTATATTCCAGAGCAGGTCCTCCAGGTTCCCTTGCTGAAATCTTGCTCCTCCCATCTGCCACTGTCCTTTCCTCCTTCAAATGCAACCTCTCGCTCAATTTAAGTAAATGTGCTGTACTGGAAAACACCACAGCAGAATTACTTAAGGAGCAAAGAAGTGAACAAATGACAATTCATTAAAATATGTCATTGTAATTGCAACTTTCTATGCATGCTCTTAATCTGTGAGGCCAAAGCACAAATTTTCTGAACAAAGCAAAAGACAGCAAGAAGATGACAGTCAAGAGCCTGGAACAGCATCTCTTGCCTGCCTCTCAACCACACAGCAGTCACCACACCAGCTTTCCCACAGAAACAAGCAGGAAATCTATCCATGTGTTGGCTTAACAAAACCTGGTTCTTTTAGCGGGGAAACCACAGAGGTGGCTTCTGTGAGAAGCTGCTAGAAGCTTCCACTATATCCAACAGAGCCAATCTCTGATGGGTCGGGAACAATCTTTCCAATCTGAGAAAGAACTTCAGCATTTGGGGTGCTCTCTAAACCCTTCTCTCCTGCACTGCTCAGGCTGCTTGCTGCAGACTATTTGCCAGTGCCTTCCAGCCTGGAAAGGGTTTAATCTCAAAAGCACCTCCTGGGGTTTTGCTAATTCTTTTCATCTCTGTTTTATTTCCTCAAAGACAGAGATCAACTGTCTGGATCTGGCTTGACCTCACAGCAAAGCCCATGGCCACACTCTGCAGCACAGATTGCCTGTCTAGAGGGGGACACAGATTTCCTGTGCTGGACCCCTTTTGGAGGTGAGCATGAATATTTCATGGCAGGGAGAGAATGCTTCAGTAGCATGATGCAAACATGGGTTTACATTGTGCAGTAAGGGACAAAGGACAACAGACCCCAGGTCAGCATCTCCAGCTGAGGTCCACTTAGAAAAGAAGGCTCCCAAGGGCATAGGGACCTCCTGGGCCCACCCACCTTTTTTCTTTAAGGCTAATGGTACAATGAGCCACAGGTGGTGCCAGCAGCTTCTGCACACACCTGCCATGCTTTACCTGGATGCAATATCCCAGCAAGGAAAACTGCAGGTTGGCTTGATCTGGTGGGGGATAAGAAGGCAGCCCTATGGTCCTAAGGACATCCCCGGTACCTAAGACCCGGTCAGAATGCTGCAGCAGCTCCAGAATACTAGAAGGAACCAAATGGTCATTCTTAACTGGAGAGATGAAGGTAATATTGTACGATATGGAAATCCATTTCCTTGCTTCTGCACCTGGGTGTTAAAGACTCATTTGGCATTTGTCACCAGAGATATGGTTTCTCTTTCTTTTGTTAGTTAAAACAGCCCCTTATGCTGTGCACATGCTGCTCTCAGAGATGGATGCCTCTCTTTTGCATCATCAGAGGGAGAAGTGGGGAAATACAATAAGGCAACATGTTTTCTGGTGTTTCTTGTCCCAGCTCAAGCGCTGCCTCTGGGCACCAGGAGCACAGAGGGACAATCTGGCTGCAGTGAGAGCCGCCTCGCCGCTCCACACGGGCCGCGACGGGCCGGGACGGGCCGGGAGGGGCCGGGACGGGCCCGCCGGGGCAGCCCGCGCGGCGCTCTCGCTCCTGCCCGCCAGGCGGCGCCACCGGACCCCGGCGCCAGCTCCGAGCCGGGGGAGCCCGGCGGAACCCGGCGGTGTGTCCGGGGCAAGGCCCGGCGGTGTGTCCCGGCCCGGCGGCGTGTCCCGGACCGGGCCCGGCGGTGTGTCCGGGGCAGGGCCCGGCGGTGTGTGCCGGGCCGGGCCCGGTGGGGTGTCCGGGGCAGGGCCCGGCGGGGTGTCCCGGGCAGGGCCCGGCGGTGTGTGCCGGGCAGGGCCCGGTGGTGTGTCCCGGCCCGGCGGTGTGTCCCGGGCCGGACCCGGCGGTGTGTCTAGCCAGCCAGCTGAGTGTTGATGCAGGTGAATTGGGCTGTGTTAGTCCTTTGTGCCAGGGCATACGCCCTGCTTCCCTGAAAAACAGGTCTGAGATGCTGTGGGAGAGGTTCTTCCCCCAGCTAGAGATTCGTGTGGTTGAGGCATTGCACACAACAAGATTAACATGACTGTCTTAGGAACAGAGACTGTATATGGGAATAATGGGGCTCTCAAGTGGTAGTCCAAGCTATCACCAAAATAAGTCCTTGTCATGCTGGCAGATGGCACAAGACAGCAGCTTGCTAACTTTTCCTGTTATGACCCAGTTTACAGAGTGGTGATTTCAAGTGGCCCCAAATACTGATAGAGACATTGTATAAAATTGGATTTGTGTCTGGCCTGTGACCTTTCTGAAAACTCTCCTGATCTCTGCTCTACAAGTTGTTGGCACAAGCTTGCACATTTGCAGTGACCAGGCTTCCAGGCATCATCTGGAGATAAACGCAATGAGTAAATAAATCAAAGAGAGGGATTGCTTTGTTTCTAGTTCTGCCTTATTGTAAGACCGTAGTAGCAGTGACAGCAAAAGCTGTTCTTGCACCTTCCTTGACTATCTCCCTACTCCTTAGTAGGACGCACCACAGATTGCTTGCTCTACAGCGTAGCTTTAGGGCTGGCGCCCATGTGCCGTACTCTGTTCCTGCTGTTTGTGGTTGCACATGCTCGTGCGTGCCTGCAGAATGTGTGTCTGCCCCGGCACAGTTGCCAACACCCATCCTGGGCACATCTGCGCGATGGTTTTCCCGTCTGCGGTGCGCACGTGAGCACGGTGAGTGCCGTGCCCGCCCGGGGGTCCCGCCGTGCCCGCCCGGGGGTCCCGCCGTGCCCGCCCGGGGGTCCCGCCGTGCCCGCCCGGGGGTCCCGCCGTGCCCGCCCGGGGGTCCCGCCGTGCCCGCCCGGGGGTCCCGCCGTGCCCGCCCGGGGGTCCCGCCGTGCCCGCCCGGGGGTCCCGCCGTGCCCGCCCGGGGGTCCCGCCGTGCCGGGCGGGCACCGGGGGCGGCGCAGAGCCCCGGCCGGCGGCCGCGAGCGGGCCGGCGGAGCGGACACGGAGCTCCGGGAGCCGCGGCCCGTTCCAGCAGCAGCGAGATCCGCGCTGCCCGTGTGGAGGCCGCTCCTGCCTGCGTGGCCGGCCGGGATGCTCCGGTTGGGAGATGCGGCGGCGGCGGGGAGCCCCGCATCCCTGCCGAGACCTCCGCCCCGCGCTCCCGCCCGCCGGGCTTTTGGGCGAGGGCTCTGCGCGCTTTGTGTCGCCGAGAGCCGCGGCCGCGGAGCCAGTCCCGCCGCTCGGTGTTTCCAGAGCCGCACTCGGCGGAAGGCGCCGTATCAGGATAAGAGTCCCCGCCGCCGCCAGCCCGACCCCGGGGGCGGTGGGAGGCGCTGGCTCTGCCGCTGGCTGCATTTATCGCGCCGGTGGCCTCGCCGAACCAGTTAACCCTTCGCGCCCCCTCCGCAGGCGCCGGCAGTGGGTGCGCTGCTCGGCCCCGCAGAGTGCCCGCTGGACTCCGGCTCTCCTGGCCCTACCGCTTAGCGGGGCACAAGTGCCCTCGCAGCTCCGGCGCCAGTAAACCTCAGCCTTTTCTCGGTTTGCTGCTTGGCAGGGCCTGCCCTGGATGGTAGCATTGTCCCAAGACCAGGGACCAGTGTCCCAAGACCAGGGGCCACACAAAGCAATCCAAATACATCTAGAGCGGGTAGCAAAGGCCATCTGAGAGTAGGCACTTGTGGTAGGAGTGAAGCTCACAGGACTGTGTGGACCTGAGATGATTTCCTTAGGGCTACAGTGAGCATCTGAGGTGTTGGGAGGATAAGGCTGGCATTCAGGGTGCTCAGGAGTAATAAGAAGGGAAGAAGACTTGAAGAACTGCATCCTGCCTGCACCCATACAGGCATCAGGAATGCATCAGGCATCAAAGCACTAGCAAGGCATCCAGGATGCTGAGTCTTGGTGTCACTGTGATCCTGGAACCATGTCAGGAGTTTGTCTTTGCTAGATGATGGTCTGTCAGCCATGCTGAAGCTGCAGCAGCAACAGCATGTTTTCATTTGGAAAGAATAAGTCTCAGTTTGATTAAATTCTCCCTCAGTACCTCAGCACAGGCTGTGTTTTGCCTTTAGGATTGCAGCAAAGGAAAATCCCAGCGTATGGAGGGGGCCAGTGCACAGCTCTAGCATGAGGATGCTAAGCAGGAGACTCTGGCTGGCTGCATTGCTTCATGTGTTGTCTTTGAGCTTCCATGTTTCTTGTGACTGCAGTGGGAGAACAGTCTTGGCCTGCTGGAGACGTGACAGTTAATAAAGAAAGGTGGTCCCGTTTAAAAGGAGAAACCAAGCTGGGCACTTCTGATTCTGTCCAAGTCCATCTAGACGATGGCACAGGCTGCCTAGGCAGCTGCAGAGGTGGCAAGGGTAGTGCAGGCTCATTGCAGTTGCCTGCTGCTGATGGCTGCCCTGTTCAAACTCTAGTGAGCATGAAATGAGGGAACCCATTCCTCCCCAGCTAACTGCATGGTTGGGTGCAGACCTGGGGCCTCTCCTAGGCTGGCTGTTTTTCCCTTTTCCCTGAGCAAATGGCTTTGCAGTACCACCAAATCAGAAGTGGGATTGAGACCTTGCAATGCAGTCTAAGGGAGATCAGGCACATCAGGGACTTGTGAGACTATGGGATAGAATCTGTGCTAGTGTCTGACCAGAAGAAAAGGACACTTTGTCCAGGAGTCTGCAAAGGCATGGGCAGGACTGGGAGCAGCCTGGAAAGAAATGAAAAGATGTTTTTAGGCCTGTGTCTACCTCAGCAGTAGCAACATAGACTCTTCCATCCTCTTGCTGGACCATTGCCTTTCTGTGGGAGAATACAGGATGAATCTGCTAGGTCTGTGGATTTAATGCTGGGCTACCACCAGCTTCCTGCTCCATAGCTATGTGGATCAGAAAAACAGAGAGCTGCTCCCAAAACAGGCATTTCACAGCCTCAGACTCGTTTCCTTCAGCGCAATTTGTCTGGACTCTTCTATCTCTGGGGCCTCTGCTGGGGATCTGTTGGAGTGATCCACTGGGGAAATGCTTCACAAAGAAGCAGCCCCAGCTAAATGTGAGTCACATAATTAATTCCAGTACAGTTAATTGGACCTAATTAATCATACTCATAAGTATAATGAGGGCCTTGCCCACAGGGGTCTTGTGAAGGTCTGAGCTTAGGGCTGCTGTTCTGGAGAGTCAGTGGGAATGAACAAGTCCCAGAGCCTTGGACATAGCTTAGGACCAGCTTCCACCTTCTCCAGGCGTCCTTGTTGGCAAAACATGACAGGACAAGGCCAGTCCTTCTGACCCGGTAGCCCTGTATTCTCTGTATCCCACAGAGGTAGGATGTGTCAGGAACTTCTGGGTGGTCAGTCACAATTCTTCCCGGGGAAGGCTGGAGTCACTGTCACAGATGGCTCCCTCTTGGTCCTTAAATATTTAGGGAGACTTTTCCATTTGATATGTTGCATGTAAGTTTTGTGGTCCAAAGGCAGGAAAAGGAGCAGGTAACAGCCAAGTCTGGGCATCTTGGCTGAGGTTTGCTAGGTGCTGCTGTATCAGGCAGCTCCTAGAATGAGCCACTGCCATGGTGGTGGTAGCTTTGGCAAAGAGAGGCTTTGAGGAGCTCCAAGGAATCTGCTTCACCATCTCCTCTCCTATCTTGTCTCTTCTAGCATGGGTATAATTATAGAGGAGGGAAGGGGGGACTGGGAGTAATCATCAAGTGCAGGGAGGGTAGATAGCCTGGCAGATGTTAATTAAAGGTAGAGGTTCTGAAATCAGTAGGGTCTGCTGAACCAGCAGCAGCTGGTCCTCTTGCTGACCTTTCCCAGTCTTGTTTTGCCACTTTCATGTGTGCAGGCTGAGAGAGGTGTGAAAGGGCTGTGATGTAAAAAGCCCAGAAGGTTGCAGGGAATGAGCAGGGAAGCAGCCAGAGGACCCAGAGGACAGGTGGTTCCATGTGTCCCCCATGCTCCACACCTGGCTGGAGGGAAGGAACTGCCTGTCTGCCTTTGGCACTGAACTGCCATGCCAAATAATGGTGGCCGGGCACCGTGTTTAACCCACTGTGCCTATGCATGCTGTCTGGAGTGCCAGTGCTGATACTGGGAAGGATGAAAGTGTGAGAATAAGTCACTGCTTGCTGATGAGGCACTTGGGAGTTCACCAAAGAGGCAGCGAGATGTACGGCCCCAGCACTCCCCTGGAGGGGTACAACTTCCTTGGATGGCTTGTGTAAGCAAACGGTGCTCGATGCAAAGGGGCTCCCAGTGCCTGCCCACTCGTGCAGACTGCGGCGCCCCGAGGTAAAACCCAGAACATCCGCAACCCGCCCCTTCCCTTCCGTCTGCCTCGGCCTCGGGTGCTTTCCACAAGCACTTCTGCAAACGGGCGAAGCCACCCTGTGCCAGCTGCCAAAGAGGCGCCTGCGAAGACTGATGTCGCGTCATTTCAGTCGGGGTTGGAAGCAGCCGCCGCTTCTCCCTCGCTCGCTCCCTCCCTCTTACGGCAGCCGTCGCTCTTCGCTGGGCCTCGCTGCGGCACCGTTTCCCCATGGGGAACGGGAGGGCTCCGCCGCATCCCCCTCATCTGCCGCGGGGAATGGGAGTGTGCAGGGTTTCGCCGCCAGCCCATGGGGCAGAGCCCGGTGCCGCCGGTGCCGCCGGTGCCGCCGGTGCCGCCGGTGCCGCCGGTGCCGCCGGTGCCGCCGGTGCCGCCGGTGCCGCCGGTGCCGCCGGTGCCGCCGGTGCGGGGCGGGGCTCTCGCTGCTCCGCCCCACCGGGAGCTCTGCCCCTGCCCCGGCAGGGGGCGCTGCCGCGCGCCGCGCCGCTTTGGGGCGGGTACCGCTCCCCGTGTCCCTCCCCCGTCCCCACGGCTGCCGTTCCCTCCTCGCCGCGCTGCGGGTGCGAGCAGAGGGGCGAGTCTTGTGTTAATTTTCAACCGAGGCCGTTGCCTCCCGTCAGTGGAGCTGGATTGTTTGTCCCCACATCGCCTTGAGCTCTGCAACTCTGGGGAGGCTGGCAAGTGGTCCCTGCCTCCAGCCCTCTGCTCCCAGCCCCACTCCTGGGTGGTTGGTGCGCTTCAGGCAGGAAGGTGACACGTCCTGGTTAGGATGCTGATGGCATTTCCCAGGAGCGGGCAGGCTGCGTCCACAACCTGGTATTTATGTGCACTATGCGGCTCCCGTCCGTGGAGTGTGTTGCGCAGGGCAGTAGAGTAGTTAATGCCTGGAAAACTTGTTGGTAAAGATAATGACATGCTGCTCTTCTCAAGAGCTGGAGCCAATCCTTATGCCCTGTGTGTAGAATTACAAAATATCCTGAGTTGGAAGTGACCACAAGGACCATCGAAGTCCAACTCCACATAGGCTCTGGGAGATGCGGCAAAGATGGGATCAGGTGTGGGACCTCCCCGGCACAGTGAGGCTAGAGAGCAGGACAAGTGTTGCGTATGATAAAGGGCAGAAAGATGCTCAGCAGGAGCAGTCCCCGTGGTGTCACGGGGAGGAGTGGGATGCAATTCTGCAGGTCCCGACTGTGCTGAGACACGTGTGCTGTCGCGTACATGTCTGTGAGACTCACGGGTGTGCGACACCTGGACGGCCACTCGCGGGGCGCCGGCCACTCGTGGCGGGAGGCCCAGAATGGGCGGCGGTGCCGAAGCCGGTCCCCGGCGGCGGTGCCGGTCGCGGGCGGTGCCGCTGGGCGGCCGGCGGGGCGCCCGCGACCAGGAAGCGGTTAATCGGCGCGTGGGGCTTTTATTTTGACAGGGCAGCGCCTGGCTCCGGCTCGGAGGAAAGTGAATGATCCTGTTTCTCCAAATGCTTATTCAGGCTCCGGCGGAGAAAGGAGCACTCGGCCCGCAGCGCCTCGCCCTCGCCACGGCGCCCCCGCCCGCGCCCGGGCCGCCGCGCCCGCCGGCTCCGCTCCCCGCCGCCCGCGCCCGGCCGCCCGCCGCAGCGCGGGGAAGCCGTCCGCGGCCCGGGGCCGGGCGGGCAGCCGGGGCTCGCCGCGGCCGGACGCCCACCCCCGCCGGCGGGCGCGGGCTGGAGCCGCCGGCTCGGTCGGCGGAAGGAGCGGCGCGGCGGGGCGGGGGGTGCCGCCGGCAGCGGCCCCGACCCCGCGCCCTGCGGCGGGCGGCCGAGCCATGAGCGCGGCCCGCGCCGCCGGCCCCGCGCCGCTGGCCGGCCCCCAGCAGCCCGCGGAGCCGCGCCGCGCCGCCCCGGCGGGCTCTCCCGGCCTACCCTGAGCCGCTCCGCCGCCGCCGAGGTGAGTGCCCCGCCAGGCCCTGGCAGCCGCCGTCCCATTGTTCCGCCCCGGGGGGGAGCCGGGGCTCCGCGCCGCCCCCGCACCGACCCCTTGCTCCGCGCAGCCGGGCCCGCCTCGGGGCTGTCATCCGGCCGGGGGGGCGGCCGGGAGCCGGCGTCCCAGCCGGAGATTCCGGGCTTGCCGCCGTACCATCACTCCCGGGGCGGCGATAACTTGACGGGGGGACGGCGCCGGCCTCGGCTCGGCCTACCCACCGAGTCCGGCGGCCGGGGATGAGCTGTCAGTGCTCCTGCTTGCATTGGACATTGCCCCTGGTCTACGAGACTCAGCCCGATTCGGTCTGACGTCTCGGAGACCGCTCTTCCCAGCTCCTTGTCACCCATTGCTGCTGCGGCCGCAGGTGATTCCTCGCGGACAAAAGTGCCTCGACTGAGGCTTTTCTCTGGTGCAAGGAACTTATTCGAGTTCCGTCTGGTTTTACCGGAGTGGGTCTGGATTTTGCAAGACGTTATCGGTGCCGTGAAAGCCTCAGGGAGGATGGGAACTTGCCACGTTTTACGTAGGGTTTAAACAAACACTCCTGTCAGGGCCCATCCTAATTGTCAGGGAAGACCTGTCCCCTCTATTTGCAGTGTTCTACTGTATAGGCTTCGGTTCCCTGTTGAGATAAATCAGGCATGTGGTCAGCTTGGTGGAAAAATGAGAGAAACACTACATGTACATACCTATTTTTCTTGTGCACAGAAAGGAATCAATGTAACAAGACCTCCCCCTGCATTGTATTAGGGACGTGTCTTTAGCAGGTGGTGAACTTGTTCCAGCCCCATTCTTGCTGGAAGAGAAATGCGAGAAGGATGCATATCTGAACACATAAGTAATGCTACATGACAGGCCAGGCTGTTGTGTTGTTGTGTGTGGCAGCATGTCTGCATGCCTTGGGGGCAGCTCGGTGTGACAGGGTGTCAGGCTGTGGGAGCATACCGTTTTGTCCTGGCTCTGCCGGGCAAAGAGCGGCAAAGGGCTGCGAGTGGCATGGCACAGAGGACAACCATGCACCTTTGGCTGCAGAGTGGTGCTACAGGCGCCTTAGTAGTGTGTATTCTTGACTTGCAAGATCTGTTCTGCGAATGTGCCTACCACTCATTACCCTGCTGAAATGCAGTTACATGCCAGGCATGCAGTAATGACATGCAGCTCCTTCCATCCATCAGTCACATACAGGGGTTGTGTGTGTGCCTTGCTTTGCTACTTTGATGGCATAAGGAGGCATAAGAACAGTGAGTCACTGAGGAAGCGATTTGTCCAAGGTCACTTGGCAAGGGTGTGTTGGTGCTGAATCAAGACCTCTGACTCTGGTGCCTGTGATAATGCTGGCTGCTACCACATGTGGGTATATAATACCCAAGGCTGGAACTAGTGCAGAAATGTCCAGGTTGATGTGCTGTCTCTATAGCAGTTGTCTGATCCATTGTGACTTTTGCCAGAGTATACATAACCTAAGTGGTGAAGAACCGTTTTATTTGTTTTTTAATATGTGTGTTGCCATTTTAGCTGAGCAGGTGGTGGGATTGGTTGCTTCTTACCACCCTGACCTGCATCTTCATTACCTAGAAAATCCATTTAATGGTGTTTTCTGTGGTGCACTGTTGTAGGTATTACTGTGTCTCCCTCCCCTGAAAGTCCATTTCCTTGTTCCAGATCCCCACCACTGTAAAGAAATAAACAGGCAGCAGCTAAAGGAAAGCCTACTTAGAAACTAGAAACCACAGTTGTTCAGTTGAAGAAAGTAAAATAGTTGTGTTTTGTACTTTTAAGCCCTTTTGCATCTTTGCTGTGTTGCTGTTGGAAGGTGGCTCTCTGGCCACTGTGTGACAGAGGGCACAGAGAGCTGCATGAAGCAACTGGGCCATCACAAAACTGAACATAGCAAGCTCATTGGGCTATGCTGCACCGGGGCAGCTGCCAAGGATGTGCTGGAGTTGCACTTTAGTTCCAGGCTAACTCCAGCTGTGAGCTGTGGACTTCGCTCATACTGGCCTGGAATTTCTGAGGTCCAGGCTCAACTCAGCCTTTGACTTTTTTATCAAGTTGTTAACCCAGCTGGTATCATGTCCTCCATACTTGCTGTTTTGGGGAGAAAAAAAAACTTCTGTCAGTGCTTGCTGTGTGGAGGGATGTGGAAAAGAGGGACAGCTGGAGAGGAAGGCTCTTGGTTCTCTCCATGAGGAGCATCAGCTGGTCCCAACCAGTGGCTGTTTCCTACTTCTGTAGATGCTGCTCTTTGTTACTCTCCAGCTTGTTTCAGGGTCTCAGAATAGGTCCTGGGATTGTTTTCTGTCTCTTTCAGCCCCGTCTCTTGTCAGTACAGTGTCCAGTTCAGAACTGGCATCAGAACAGCCCTTGCTTCCTTGCCCTGTCTCAGGTGATTGCATCAGGCTTTGCTGCTGCTAGGAGGGAAAGTTCTTAGCGGTCAAAGCACTTGAGGATGTGTTTGTGTTCCTCGGATGTCCAGATGTGCTGCTGTAATGGGTTTTAATCTGCTCAGGTCTAGTATTTCCTGGAGATGGCACAGGCTGGCTTCCAGTGCTTAATTCCTTAGGGCTCCATCCAGTTTTAAATATCCTACCCGACAGATCTCTCAGGTTGTTCTCTTCTGGGAGAATATGTCCCATGTGGAAAAGCACAAGTTTGCTGTTCCTGTCTGAGAATGCATCAACAGTCTGTTCCACCTGTGAGCCTGCCCCTGAGCTTCTGTTGCTGCCTCCCCCCAGGGTTGTCTGCTGTCCCCCAACAGCCTTAGCCAGGCAGAAGCCTAGAGGTTGCTCTGGAAATGTAATTTTCCTTGTACTGTTGCTCTTTTGGCTGAGACCCAGGATCATGCTAGTGCCCTGGACTGGGGGTGGGAGAGGGCACATGGGAGACTTGAGCTGTGTTTGACTATTTTGGACATTTTTAACAGGAAATGTGATATGTAGATGCATGGATATATAATATAATGCAGGGTAGAGATATCATAGCAATATGATGTACAGATGCAGCAATATTTTGTCAGTGTTATTTAAGCTGTATCAGCGAAGTGCAAGCAGGATTGCCAGCACAACTCTTCTGGAAAATCAGAATCTAATGCAGGTCAGGACTTGGTGTCAGTCAGCTCTCCTTTCCTCCCAGGAAGATTTTGACTGGCAAATGCATTTTCTGGTGATCGTATGTGTGGTCCTGTGTTTCCAGAGGGTGGTGGGTGCTATGGATTCTGACTTTATGTAGTTGATCTCCATGAGCTTTAGTTACCCTATGAGGTTTCTCATAACACTGAAGCTGTGGAAAAATACACCTGTCTTGGAGCAAGGGGCCTAGGAAGTGTTGTGAGTGCTTTGCTTCTCAGTTGTGCATCTTCAGCAGCTCTGTGTGATGCAGTTTGTGAGGGTGGCCACAGTGATATTCCTGAGTTCTTATTGACTTCAAAACAGAAGTTGTGCGATGATTTTGAATGGGTCAATATTTGCTGCTTTGGTTTGGCTTCCTTTCTTCACCACCTCTGGCAGCCCTGAGTGGAAGGTATCCAAGAACTGTTACTGGAGATTGGTGGGCATGGTTTACTGTATTTTGTGCTTCATCAGTCTCTCCTGGGGAGGCAGCACCAGCCAAATCATATGGAATGGAGCAGAGGCACCCTTCCTTCTTCTGTGGTGCCTGTTGCAGGTCGTCTGCTTAGCACTGGACCCTTTTGTGGGAACAGAGAACTGGTTTTGTTTCCTTCCTACCTGGTCTTCTGTGAGACTCAAAGGTGGATCAGGTGATGGATTTGTTCTAACTGGGATCAGTTCACGACGGCATTTGCAGTTGCCACGGGGTTATACTCAGCAGGAAATAGTGTAGGGGAAGCAGTTAGTGTCACTGGTACTTGCTTCTGATATAAGAGAAAGCCATGCTATGAAGAGGCAGCTTGTTAGGAGTCCTGCTCACTCTCTGTATCCTTGGCCAGCAGTTCAGCACTTGGTGGTCCCTAGGGCAGCCTGGGCCATGGCATGGCAGGAAGACAGAGCATGGGTTGTCTTAGTATGGCTATCTGAAGCCTGTACCAAGCATTGGAAACGGTGTGCTGCTGTTGGCCATCCTGACTGGTTCCAAGACCTGCTTGCTTGGGCCCAGACCTGCTGCTGCTGCCCCTCTTCCAAGACATGGGATGGGCCATCTAAGACAATATGACTTTGAAATAAACAGGGTTGCCTTGATGCCAGCTACAACCCTGCACTGGAGAAACCAGTGGGAGGATAATGGGCTGCAGTGCCCTGAAGAGAGAGAGAGAAATGGGAACCTCTTCTGCTCTCGCTGAGTGTGTGTCCATGCTGGGCATAGTCAGTGCAATGCAGCCTGCTTCCTGCTTTCTCAGCTCTTTATGAAGAGGTGGTCTGGTTCTTTGACACCTACTGGTGTCTGGGCACAGGTGGCTTCCCTGAATCCTGGTATCCTTGCTGAGTTGTCAGATGGGTGCATCGGGCTGGGGTTTCCAGCCCCTTTTCCACTTCCTGTGATGGAGGGCAGTGCTTTCACCTGGCATTATCCTTCTGCATCTTTCTGGGCAGCTCCAGGCAGAGGAACATGCAAGCTATACCTGGGCATCTTTGGGAGACAGGACTTGTCCAATGCAGGCAGCTTGTCTGACAGCTTCAGCTGGAGCCACTAGAGAAAACAGTACTTTGATGCTGGGTTTTTCTTCCCCCAAAGAGCTGGAGCTATGTTTGGGTGTTGGGTTTTTCATCTGCGACTCAGGATGCCTGGAATCCCAGCTGGGGTGTAATGGGGAGCCTCTTCTGATGCTGGGGTAATAGCCTCAAGATGGCTTTAGGGCTGCGCTATGCACTGTGCCCAGAGGTGGGGCGTCACCCTGTTTGGTGATGAGCGCTGCTGGAGCCAAGTCCTGGGCCAGAAGCCAGGTTTGTGATCCATGCCAGAGAGGGCGAGACTTGGAAAGCAAAGCAGAGCTCCGCCTGAGTGAGAGATGGACTGAAATACTGAGCAAAACCACAGAGTGCTCCTTGTTCCTGCCTATGCCTACTTGTCTTCTTTCTTCCCAAAGTATGTGGGAGGCCACAGGATGGATCTGCTAGGGAGCAGGAGGGCTGTGCTCCTCAGGCACGTCTGTACCATTGTGCCTCTTCAGGGTTCTGGTTGGGTTGGTTTTTTGCATTTTATTTTGTTGTGGTTTTTTTCCCCGTTTTAACCCTGCCTCTGGTATTGCTGGATCTTCCCCATCCTTGCAGCTACTGGTTTAACAG